CACCGAAACACATCATTCTCAAACTCAACGAATCGATGGATTTTATCATCTCGAAATTCAGAAAGTCTAATCGATCGCTAGCAGTTCTATTGTTTCGTCACATCACAATTCCAAGTGCTCCATTTTTCAACCGTATTGTATTTTTCAAAAGCTTTTCTTGTCTCTAACGAAGCAACCAACAACAATCAACGTGATTGATCATAAAACATAAAGTCTAGCTTAACGCAGTGGTTTGCAAAAAAATCGCTTTATCACCGTTCTTCTTATTTATCAGTACTTCAAAAAATAACTTTCGCAAGAGAAGCATTCCTCTTGATTGTTCGTTTACATCGCATTTAATGTCTAATTTTATTGACGTCTTTCAGTGTAATAAAAAGTAACTGATATGGTGCACCGCAACAATTCGAGATGACAGATTTTATTGCTTGCAAATGAATCGAAAATCATCTATTTATTTTTGGCATATGTAAATCACAAAGAATGATTTGATTCATCGATTTACACACCCTTCTTTTGCGTTTTGTAAAATCACATAGTGGCATTTATGTATGCGTGGCATGCATCGCCGAAATGGTTTTACAATAATGCGCTCCCTTCGTCTTGTCGAAGTGACCTCGCTTATCAATTATCCGAACTTATGTCATCACGAACATTGTTGCAATGACTTAGCGTTATCACGAACCTCATGGCTGAAGTTCACGTTGCTGGTCTAATTGGAAAGTAGTTGCGAATTCAGATTAAGCGATCAAATGAAGTGATAATGCTCCTCGAATAATTTCTCGTTTTCGCCTTTCGCAGAAACAGAATAATGTGCTTCCAATCCCACTTAGAAAAGCCATCGAATGTTCAACAGAGCCTCAAGACCTGAGGTCAAAAACACCATTGTATTCTCATTTAGCACCTCTAAACGGTTCGTTGGACGCTTGTACCGCACAGCTTACCGCAATGCACATATTTCTCACAACGAAATCAGAATCACTCTCAAGGATCACATTTTGACCACTCGAGAGCTATTGAGAGTTGGAACAGTTCAAAATATGAAGAACGACAACATATAACTTACATTCATATGGATGCAGAAGTGATGATTGGCCACTGCCACAAAATGCGATTATGACCACTATCAACAGGAGAAGGGAACATCGATCCCTTGACTTATACGCAGATAACATGTTCCAGTTGAAGGTTGTTGAGATGACGTACTACCGATCGAAGTCGGACGAGATTGTTGACGGGTGCTGCTCGATAAATCTTTGATATGATGGACAGTTTCGAATCAAGCAGCCACAATTGTCAAGCACTTAACGCAGAGAGCACAACTAGTTTGTGATATTGCTCATCCGTTTATATACGGTAACAGAGCGCTCTTGTCTGTTCTGTGATAAGCCCAATAAGCTGTTCTATTATACTTGTAATTTTTTGAGTGATAATGTTAATGCTCATCAGATCATACACAAACATTGCCTGATAAGTAACGGTTTTCTAAACAAAAAATTGCCCACTTAACTTTTGATCTGCTACGTTGTTCAGCTATTATTGATACTCCACCTTTGTCGTGTACAACCAATGACTGACATGCTTTTTAATCGCTGATATCGGTTCGATGATCACTAATCAAACATCGTCGTAAGTGTTTCATGACTACTTCTGTCGTTACTTGTTTAAACGATGCAACAGCGAAATGAATTCATGAATGAAACCATAAACTGCACTCAATCGTTATCATTATAATCTGCACATTTGTGACAATGAAATTACTGCAGTTATGATCGCTGTCAGCTTTGCTATAAGCATTCGTGTTGATGCCATGACCGCTTCGGTTCAACCGTCGTTTATACCATTGATTAAGTCAATTATCTGTGCCACCGTTATGATTTTACCGATTTTTCCCAGAATCATTATTGCTCCCTTGCTCTGCGGTCCTCTGATCACTGTGCTCATTACTCTTGCTGCTATGATTATCACTGTGCTCAATAATATCACATCAGTAGTATCATTGGGCTCTGCAATACCATCCTGACTGTCTCCGTCCTTAATAAAACTGAAATGATTGTCCATGTTAACGTTATTGTCAAATTTAATTCGTCC